ATCAGCTTATCTTGTGGTATCACGTAGCATGTGATCCTTGTAGCAGGTGATACTACCTTGTAGCAGGTAATCCTACGATGTAGCGGGCTTGTTAAAGATCACTCGTACGGCTTGATCTTCAGTTTGGATGCTGGGAGCTTTAAACGGGGGATATTTTCACTGGATGAGACGGGAGTTACCTGTACAGGTGACCAGGGGGATTCCTGATAGGTTTAGAGGGTAACTTCATGTTTGATATGCCGTGTGTGACGTTATCAACCATAAACTGCTTCCTGATCAAGTAGCTGAACAGGAAATCGTGTTCTGTATTAGATCGAACCAACCTTTGATCCAATCACTCCCCGTATAATTGTGCAATTCGGACCACATCGTACTTATTATGGGCCATATAACAGCGATATTAATGACAACACCTCGGCCGTTTTGTGACTTTCGTGACGGTGATCAGCTATTAAATGCATGCTGGGTAATATAAGGACACATTATCTTCTTTCCCACCAAGATTAAGGAGAAGTCCAGCTGCTGCTGCCTTAATAAAATTGGGCGTGTTGATATCTGATGGCTGCTTATTTTTAGTTAAATTAGCTTTTAGGCAAAACTTGTTTTCAGTTTTAGCTAATCCTTTGTTATCGGTGGAGTAAATTCCAACTTGAGCTTTGCTAGAAGGATAGAAAGCCACGAAACTCCCTTTTTATAGCCTTCCAGCCAAACACGATGCATGTTCGAATACGTTTTAAATGCGTTCCGTTAAAGAAACATGAATTACAATCTGCTGCTTTTCCGTTCGGTGGTGATAGAAGCACCTGCATCTACCTCCTGCTCCGTATGTAAACCAACACCAGTTGCTGACAAGTGCGGCGGATCGGCCCCTGAAATACCCTGAACGCAGCGACGTGACATCGATTCCAAAGCCTGGTTGGTGCTCTTCATTAGCCTGAGTGTCTCCCCATCCAGCACATGCTGCCTTCTATAAATACCCCCAAAGTTTTCCGCTGTGAAAATCTTGGGTGTCGTTTGAAAGAATGTCGGACAAAACGCGTATCGGTCTGAGGACTGAAAACTAAAAAGTCACTGTGTTGTATCTGACGTTATTAGACACTGTACGAGGCCTAATTTACTAATTAATTAAAATTCCTGTTGTGGGTTGAGATAGTAATGAAAAAATAACTGTGAGGGATGTTTTAGCAGCAAGACGAGCCAACAGCGGTTGTTTTATGTTCACGCTGTGGTCTCCATGTTTGTCTGTTGTGATGTAAAGTTCTGCAGAACCATTACAGCCCGACTAACAACATATCTGGACGCACTGTGTTTGCTTTTTGCTGCCAAACAGGACGAAACACCAGAAAAAGAAAAAGATCCCGTCGCTGCGGATACTAAAAATGACACTCAGAGACGCCTGCTTGTGTCGGGCAGGCGCTGAACAACACCAGGTCCAGTGAAGTGGTAGATTAATGTGAAAGCGAGGGATGACAATTTGAACGAGCTCCTTTCCCTAGTCAAAGAATTTTCCATGGTCCTGCCAGGTTACCCTGGCGACACTGGTGACAGCCACAGGCGACCATCTGAGTTCTCCCCCATCGGGCCTGTTGATCCGTGGGCTGCTGCTGCTGCTGCTGAGCCAAACAACACCGATGCAAAATGATCATTTTTACAAGTCTTGGGGCCTGCAGATTGCTGGTTTCCACTGGGACACCTTTCATAGAGCGCCGGTTGGTGTCAATTTACAAGATCAGTCAGATTGAGTGACGTCAGATAAACAGCTGATATTTTATTAGATGAGTCTGTTTAATGTGTGACTGACTGCAGGATAGGAGTGTTTCAGGGTCAAAAGTTCATAGACAGTTTTTTTTTTAATCTGCTCCTTCCTTCGTCAGCGAAGCGGCCTGAGCTCTGGCACGGCGCTACAGGCTCAGCTCCTTCCTGTCGGCTCGGGCTGTGTCCAGAGAATAGGACACAAAACCACACACACACCTCTTTTTCCTGAATATGGGCTTAAAACAATCCAGCCAGCCTTTTGTCTCCCCCCCAACCTTCTCTCTCTCCATATCATCTTTGGTTTTCTCGCTGCGTGTCTTGACAGCCGGAGCCCAGTCCTCATTATCAGCGTGTGCATGTGCAGAGGGCTGCTGCTGCTGCTGACGCTGTGTGTCGTTGCAGACTGACGTCAGCGCTGCCCTGCTCCTCTCCATACAAATACCCTCCCTGCCTGCCTGCCTGCCTGCCTGCCTGCCATTGATACCTTTTCTCTGCCCCCCACACTCTTATTAGCATGTTTTTATCAGTTCTAGCACCTCTCGCACCACAGAGCCCAGCTAATATGACACACAGGTGCAACTAGCCGGCCGTCTAATAGCCTGCGCAGGTTTATTGACTCCTGTGAGGAAATATTTACGACATGTCTCACGTTGAATAATTGTGTGTGTGAGGAGTTATTTTAATAAGGTTTTTTTTTTTTTGTCTGTGCATTGAGCTCATAGAGGTTCTCTCTGGTTGTATAAGTAAATATAGTCCAGCTTCTCCTCTTGCGGAAATACCTGCACCGTAAATAATCTTTGCACCCGTGTGCATGTGGGCGTGCACGCGATGTTACACCAAATCAAGGATACAGAGAATACGATCAGGTGTACAAATCTCAACGTTCGCTGCCTGTGTGTTTAAAAACAGCAGGAGAAAAAAAAACAGTCTGACATGGCTGCAGACAGAGTTGTGATATTCATGTGTGATAAGCAGCTGGAAATATGTTCCTGTAATAACAGTTTTTGGGGGTTTAGTTTAGGTTCTCGGTTTATTTTAAGTATTATGACAATTTTATGATGTAAAAAAAGGCCGTTACAAGTAAAAATCAGGAGCAAAATGTACATTAAACACCTAAATTAAAACTGCATATTGTGCAGAATAGCTCATTATTATTTCAAATGGTCAGTGCAGTTTAACATATTACATTTTAGAGGATGGTCACCTAATGTGTATTTAGTGAGGTGGAGTTAGAAGTCAAATAAATCCCCTTTTAAATGTAGTTGCAATACAACGTAGTGGACGTCACAGTTGCACCTAAACGTCTTGGAAGTGAGAAGTGATCTAATGGTTGTGTTGTTGGTGTGAATCTGTGCGTCCAGGTCGTGTGTCCGCCCTCGTCCTCATCTCTGAACAAGTATTTCCTGTTCATTGAAAGCCTGCAAAAGGGAGACTCGCTGTACATCATTTGTTGTTTTAACGGCGATGGCGGCAACCTTTCCCTGCTTCTGAGAAAGTCAGAGGAGTCCATGTTGTTGTGCACAGATTAGTCAGAGGTAAAGAGGAGAGCGCGGCGAGGTGTCGGCGGATCGCACACGCTTCGTCGTGCCACACACTGCAGACATTTGAGCGTGTCGCCGGGTGTCAGGAGTGCACGTCGTATCTCGTTGCGTCCTGCTTTTGTTTTTTTGTTTTTCTCCTCTCCCTCCGTCGCCCTCGGTCCTCTACCCTCCGTCCCTTCTTTACCGGCATCCTCCTCCGCCTCCTCCTTCAGCTTTCGCCCGTCTCCCTCTCTGTTTCAGCCCTCCTGCTTCTCTCTGTAAACAAGCAGAAGGCCAACAACTCTGTCCTCCGGCCGTCTCCCGCCATCTCGTTGCCATGGTGTGTGGAGCATTGTTTGCCGGCCTCTATGTCGGGTTGCCATGGCAGGGCTTATTTGCCATATTAAATGTTTGGCAGCATTGTACAGATGCTGATGACAAACTCCCAACATCCCACTTTGATCAATGAAACGGCTGCTGATTAGAGGAGACGGAATGGGCCCATTGATCTATTTAACAGCCTGAGCTATAGATTCTATCTACAGCATGTGTAAGACCAAACAATTATATAGATATAGCTAAAAAAAAAAACAAGCGTGAGGAAGGTGTAGCTTCTAACGTGGGGCTTGTTTTGCTGTAACACACTGACTTCTGCTGATAAAATGAAAATCCTGCTTTTATAGATTTTGAAAATTGTTGTTTGATGTTGAATAGTGGTGCATTTTAGATTTTATCTGTAAAAGAAAACATCAAATTCATTCCTTAAGCATCTTTTTGAAACTCTTACTGAATGTGACCCGATGACGTTTTTTTTGTTAATATGATCCGTTGTTTATTCCAGACGGAGAGACGACTGGTTGTGTTGTTTACATGTGAGGATGAGGTGCTTCTCATACAAGGCTCGATCCTCCGTCTCGCCCCCTCTAGTGGTGTGGGGTGGGACTGCACGGTGGCTCTCTGAAGGCTTCATGTCTGGATTTTACAGCTTCTTCCTGCAGAGTAGGGTCAAAAGTCTGCTTTCAGTTATTAAGTTGACAAAACAATTTTTAAAAAGCATATATTTTTCTTTTTATTGGAAGTATGCATGACTGATGTGCAGTAAATGTGCAGAATCATAATCAAACCCCACAACACACCTCGTTATTTCTGTTTTAATTATATTATTTCTGTTAAATTCGTATGGAGCTCATAGAGGATTGGGTTAATTCAGGTCCAGCGTTACACAACTGGTGCCAACTTTGACCGTGCTCTGCTGTAATGTGTGAGCGCTCCTGTGCGGTTACCAACAGATAGCATGGAAATGCTGCCGCTTGACGTAGTTGGACCCAGATAAGATCTCACAGCTCCATTGTAGACGCACCACGGCGGTTTTAGTGGTTTGCTTTTTCTCCTTTCGCTTTCAGTGCGAGGCTCCGGTCTGCCGTTGCTCCGGCAGCGTGCATCGGCATACCTGTAGTAGAAAGTGCATGGTGCAGCGCAGGAAATCCGTAATGTAAACTGTTACTACACTGTGTGTTTAGATAACAGGCAGAACAGACTCGCACAAGCTGCGTTGCTCTGCTGCTGACCTGCCGGTGCCCTCGCTGCAAAGTCGTAACACGGTACGCTCAAAGTGGAGCGCAGGTCAAAGCCCGAGCCGCCTCTGTGCATATGCATGTCTGTATACTCTGTCACACACACACACACACACACACAGGGTGATGACGGTGTTCTCTTGTTTTTCAGATGATCCTGTGGGACTGGGATCTGAAACACTGGTACAAGCCGCAGTATCAGGTCAGTGCTGTGTTTATTTCAGCTCACGTGTTCCGGGTCGGGTTCACACAGGAGGCACACAGCTGATACCGGCCACTTACAGTAGAGTCTAGAGTTCAGCAGCACCGTGTAAAGTCACTTTTAGGACATTCAGTACTTTTCCCAACATTTTTCGGTCAGGGCAAAATACACATTGTGTAAAACTCTGCATACAACGACCTTGGAGTCGCTGTCATGCCACAGTTTTTATCTTCCTCAGACATTCTATGTCTTGTTTGAACTATTTGTGTAATCTATTCAAGAATTTAGCTCCCACAGGCCAAAAGTCATGATTTGTTCCCGTTCCTCCAGAGCCGGGCCAGTCAGAACTTTATGAAACCTGCCCTGCAAACAGCAAAGTCACATATAGGATCTAGATGTCGTGCATGTTCCTCCCTGTGCATTGTTGCTCTCTTGCAAGAGGAAAGAGGAGCAGGAAGAAGTTAAAAATCATAAATAAAAGCAAAGTCTGCTGGAGGAAAATGGGATTCCTAAAAGAAATAGAGATGGAGCTAACAAAATGGGAAGCAGTTCTTCATAAGCACAACAACACCCTCAAGCAGCCTGTCTGTCCGCATCACGCTACACTCCAGCAGGATGTTAGTCGACAACCAAAGCCACAACTTTAACAAAACTTCTCCCACCAACACTCAGTAAACAGCGTAACTAATGTTAGGTTTCCTCTGACTTTCCTCCATGCTGCTCAGGGTGCGGTGAGCGGCAACGGCGTGGACCTGTCGGTCATCAACGAGGCCAGAAACCTGGTGTCGGACCTGCTGATGGACTCGTCTCTGTCCCCGCACACCATCTCGTCTCTGCGCAGCGTCTCCAGCCTCATGGGGACGTTCTCGGGGTCGTGCCGCCCCAGGGTCAACCCCTTCACCCCCTTCCCGGGTTTCTACTCCTGCGATGAGGTGGAGGACTCCGTCGAGAGGAGCGACAGGAAAACCATCAAGGTGGGCACACGGGGTAACGCTGCCGCAGACCGGTTGGTGCTGGGTGAAAGCACATTTTTGGGTTTTTATCAGACGCTGAAATGCCACATGCCAGTTTCTAACCCGATAAGAGGAAGTGAGGGAAAGCAGTGACAGAGCAACTTTTAATCACTTCATCTCAATGATCTCACGGGAGAATGACACCAGTCGTGTATCTGATTGCAGATAAAATGTGTTGATCATGAGTTTCTTTTTCTTTCTTTTTTGTCGCTGGAGCCTTTCGATGCGGTCAATCTGGACCGTTTAACCAAAGCTCGTGACTTTCAGGGGTTTCACTTTGTGTGTTAAACATAGATTTATATTCTCCGTCCATCAGGGTCTGAGCAGCAGGAACAGCCTCCCCACCCCTCAGCCCAGGCGGAGCTCCACCTCCTCTGCGTCCTCCCTCCTCCCTCCTCTGGACTCCGCCCCCTCGCGCTGGGAACGTAACAACGGCAAGAGACCCCACCCTGACCTCAACTTGACCAGGTATCAACACAAACACAG